GCCTTGCATGGGGCATGTGTTAGGTTTCACGGGTCCTTACATTGTCCACATTTCGCATGGCTCCTGTCTTCTGGCTGGATTACTAGAATCCATCCTGAGGGATGCAGAGTAGGTATAAAACTTCCTGGATCAACTGGCACTATAGCCACCATGGCCCACAAGAACATAGCTTTTGGGCCATTGTGCTTCCCCCTAGGATGACTCTAGCCTGCTGGCTTCTTGAAGCACCTGGCTTGAAGCATGCCGCCTTCCCAACCTAGTGTGTATGTGACCACTGGCAGATATATTCCCAGCTCTGTGCACCCTGTGGCCCTTTGCCAGCTCTTGTTTTGGACACTTCTTCCTCCAAGAATATTCTAGAAGTCATCCCTGACTCCTGAAGGTAGATTCTCACCTCTTTTGTGGTTTCCCAACTACAGGGATGCTAAGGGTCTGCCTAGAATCTGTACACACAACATATCAACTCCAGGCTAAGTGCACTGCTTAGTATACATGTTCTGCAACATGGTTTTAGTAACACCCTGAGGAAACTGTGACCTTCTTTAAAACATTTTCAATTTTCTTATTTGACTTTATGTATGTGAGAGTTTTGCTTATATTAGCATGCATATATGTGTACCACATGCACCCCTGATGAGCTGCAAGTGTGAAGTTTGGAATCCTGGGGACTCTTGAAAGAGTAAAAAAAAATGCTAGAGTCCCAAGAGGGGCTGTGGCTACTGCTGCTCCTCCTTTTGCTAGTTGCTGGTATTTGCTGGCTGGAGATATTTTGATGACGAAGATCAAAATTGCCTCAAGGAACTCAATGCCCCTAATCAATAGAAAATAGTCTAAAGCTATTAACACCCCCTTTCTCCTCTAGCCTTCTTCCTCTTCTGGTGTTGGAGGGTTGGGGGGGGATTAGGATGGAGAAGGGTGATAGAAATAGGAACCCATAAGGTAGTCAAAAGTCTGTCTACAGTGCTCTGGAGCAGTACACATACACACATACACACACACACACACACACACACACACAAAAATAATCTAAGCTTTTATTTTACAAAACTACAGAAGAGAAGAAATTAAATATGTAGGAAGCAGCAGAGTGTATGAAATAAATTTAAGGTTAGAAGTTAGTAAAACAGGAAAACCATCTAGAATGTCAGTAAAATTGATAATCCTCTAGCCAAAGTGGTCAGAAAAAAATGATCCCAAATTATCAATACCACAAACCAGAAGGGGCCAGACTAAGCTCTTACAGACAATGCAAGATGACAGAGGGGAGCCATGAACAAATTTGAAATAATAAATTTGACAGGTTAGATGAAATGGACAAATACCCTGAAAGATGCAACTCACCAAAGCTCACTCAAAGCTCACTCTAACATCTTCATGGAGAACTTCAGTGGTTAAGACTTTCCTTCAGCTGAGTGTGCTGGAGCATTCCTGCAATCTCAGCACTTTGGGAGGTAAGGCAGAGGGATTGCAAGTCTTAGGCCAGCTAAGGCTACATAATTGATCTCAAAACTAAAAAAATTATCATAGGAAATACCTTGACCACTGGAATCAGGGGCATCCCTGGGACAAGCTTGAAACCTAATGCAAAGGAAACTCCCAGGAGTCTATGAGGGTGACTGTAGCTAAGACTCCTAGCAATGGGGACACGAAGCCTGAACTGGCCATCTCCTGCAATCGGGAAAGATTTCCAGTAGAGTGATTGGGTCACTAACCCAGCCACAAAACCTTTGAACTGCAAATGCTGGGGTAAAGGTGGCCCAGAAATTGGGGGTGGGGTGGGGAGCGGGATGGGTAGCCAGGCAACAACTGGTCCAGCTTGAAACCCATGTCAAGACTCAGAGGCTGAATAGCCCAGAGACCTAGGATAGAACCAAACATGACTGGCAAAAACAAACAAACAAACAAAAAGGAAAAAAAGGTCAATGAAATGGTTTCTAATAAAATTCTATTACACTCATAGATTGGTATCTAGCCCAATTATTATTAGGGAGGCCTTACCCAGCAACTGATGGAAACAGATGCAGAGACCCACAGCCAAAGACTAGGTAGAGCTCAGGGAATTATGCGAAGAAGGAGGAGGAGGGATTGTAGGAGATGCCAAGGGAGCAAGAAAACTCACAGAACCAACTAACCTGGGCCAATAGGAGCTCACAGAGACTGAACCACTAACCAGGGAGCCTCCATGGGATAGACCTAGGCTCCTTGGACATGTTATAGTTGTGTAGCTTGGTCTTCCTGTGGGTCTCCTAACAGTGGGAGCAGGGCTGTCTCTGACTCTGTTGCCTGCTTTTGGGACCCTTTCGTCCTACTGGATTGCCTTAATAGGAGAGGAAGCATCTAGTCTTACTGCAACTTGAAATGCCATGACTACTTGATATTCATGGGAGGCCTGCCCTTTTCTGAAGAGAAACAGAGGACTAGTGAATTGGAGGTAGGGGTGGGGGCTAGGACTGGGAGAGGAGGAAGAGGAAACTGTAGTCAGGATGTAAAAACATTAATTAATTAATCAATCAATCGATCAAAAAAAGGGGGAAATACCTTGTCCAGATGACTCTGCTGGTTCAAAGAACATTTAAAGGAGAAATGATGCTAGTTTTCCCCCTTAGTTTTTGTTTTTTGAACAAGGTTTCTCTGTGTAGCCTTGGCTGTCCTGGAACTCACTCTGTAGACCTGCCTTGTCTGCCTTTGCCTCCCGAATGATGGGATTAAAGGTGTGCACCAGCATCATCCGGCAATAATACAAGGTTTTTCAAAAAGTAAAGGTACATAACTGCAGTGCATCCAGATAAGAGAAGTGCAAGAAATCTATAGATCAGTATCATTTATGAACACAGATACTTAACAGTGGGGATTGCAGGTCCAGCTCAGCTGGTAGAGTACTAACCTAACTCAGACAAGGCTCTAGCACTGCCTAAACCAGGAATGATGGTGCACACCTGTAATCGTAGCACTTGGAGGCAGGAGAATCAGGAGTTCAGATCATCTTTAGCTACAGAGTGAATCCCAAGTTACCCTGGGATACATGAGATCTTGCCTCAAAAAACAAAACAACCTTAAAACAACAACAACAACAACAACAAAAAACTTAGCAGGCCATACCCAGCTATGTCTATAAAATTTCACAGCAGATAGAATTAACCCAGAGTTATGTGGGAGAACTGGAAATAGCTTTGGAGAAGGTGATTTCTGAGTGGACCACTAGGAGAGAAGCACACTCAGTAGGTGGTGACTTGGAGAAGAGAGAACAGTTAGAGAGAGCACACTGCTCTCTGGGAACAGGTGCTGTGTCGGCACTATGGTGGCTACTGAGCTCCCAAGGAGAGTACCAGACACAGGGCTGAGCCCCTGACTGACTATGTTATGATCCTATCCCAGACAACATTAATTAAGCATTCCACAGGCAGGCACTACACCAAGCTGCAGCCATCTTGGGACTAACTGGGACCACATGAGAGCCGTTGCAGGAAGGCTCATCAGTACTCACTGCTGAGGTCTCTAGCAGCCCTTTCCAGTCCTTCCCTGGTTCTTTCATCAGTCTCTGGGCTCCTGTGAGGTGACTGAAGGCCTTCTCACAGGCTTCTCCTTTCCGCCTCCACGGAGGAGAGACCATTTCCATTGCTTGGCCACAGATCATGGATGAGGGCTGCCTCAAGCTTACCTCTGCCAGACTTCTGTTGCTGTACCTGAGCGGGAAGACCCTCCAGCTAAAGGTCTAAGAAGGGAGTCCTTGAAATCAAGTCAAGGTGGAAAAGCAGGTACTGTGTAGATACTCCACAGAACAGGGACAGAAAGGTGGAGGTTAAGGGAGAAGCTACAGGTTCCTGAACAGCAAAGAACAGGGTAAAAGCAGCCTCGCTTTAAGAGGAGCTAGGGAGGGTGGACTACAAAACAGCAACACCTGACCCTAGTGCTATTCACTAAAGAGATGCAGAACACGTTGTCACTCAGACACCCGACAGGTATTTCCACACAGATGTCAAACACTGTGTCAACCCTGATGGCAAGAGAAGAGCAGGCCCAGTGGCAGGCCACACAGACACCATAGGAGCTACGGTGCAGTTGGTTGTCCTCTTTACTGAGGTTCATAGAGGGCATGTGAGATACTGACCAAGAAGTTGCCTTGAACAAGAAGGCTGGGGACACAGCAGAGGGAAGGCATTTACCATTAGATGTTCTTGTGCTGCCGACTGACTTAATTTTCAAGACTAATGATTGAGGAATAACTAAAAAACATTCACTTCTGCTCCAGTCACAGGCTGTCTTAGTAAGCATTCTTTCTATCTACTCCCAACAAGTTTAATGTAAACCTTTTGGAATGTTATTTGGCGCTGTGTTATTGGTGTGTCAATCTATGCCAACTCCAGTTCTTGTGAATATTCTTGAGGAAAGTCTTCAAACTTGGCTTCAGGGAGCCAAATGGGCCAACACCAGAATCAGCTTCCAGCATTGGGCACTGAGGGAGGGACTGGTACACGCCAGTAAACTGTAAGCTCCATTGGAACTGAGGCATGGCCATACAGCCTGGACAAGGGTAGCTGGAGAACCACAGTTCTCTTCAGAAAGGAAACCTACGCTTCCACACAGACCTATTTTAACACTGCGCCTACGGCAAGAACATCAAGTATTATAAATAGCAAACCCAAGGTTCCAGTTTGACTGGTTTGTCTCTGATGTCAGGAAAGTGGTCATTGGTTAGGTTAGTTGTAAAGCAGAGAGGGATCTGTAGAAAGCCACAGTGGGGAAGCTGGCCTCACTGGGTTAGACAGCCACACTTGAATTTTTCCCACCATGCCTGAGTCACCAATGCCTGTGGCTTCAGTCTGCAGAAAACACCTGAGAAATTATAATGAGGCTAAAGAGTGCTGTAGGAGTCAGCCTCAGAGGCCAGGAAGGAAGCTCCTTCCCAAAGTGCCCTCCCTCCCTTTGTACCAGTGAAGAGGAAGGATGCTACAGAGCATAGCGCTGTGTCACAACACGAGGCAGGTAAGGAATACACGCACCTTTGTTATGAGACATGGCGTAGAGGAGGCAGAGCACGAAGAGGGCATGATAATCATCCTCAGGGCTGTCCAGGGCATGGTATACCATATCCAGGAAGGGTCTGAAAAAGAGGAAAGCTCTCTAAGGCTCTGGGCTGTGTGCATTTCCTTCTCTCACCTGACAACATCAGCTGTCTTTGCTTCTCACAGGTCTAAGGGCACTAGTTTGTGGTGAATGCAGTATGTGTTTGGTCCAGAATTAGGGCACTGGGAACACATTCATACAAATGAGAGATGGCTCTGACCTTGGAAAGCTGCTATGAGGGCGGGGGGAGTTGATCAAGTATACACTACTCGGTCACTTGACAGTCATTCACCTGGAGTCTCTGGAGATGATAGGTACAAAGTTCCTGCTCTTTTGAGCTCCCATGCCAGCTGGCAGACAGCACAGGCATGTATCATTACTTTAAAGAAAAGATGGAAGGAATATGGATGAAAACAGGACCAGTATAACAGACCTAGACCACTAGGCAAGGCACCACCAGAAACATGAATACATTTAAAGGTACAGCTAGAGTCAAACTGCCTAGGTTCAAATGCCAATCTGCTTCTTCCTGCTACAAACCCTCTGGTGAGGTCCTTAACTGCCCCAGCTCCTCAACTGCACAGAAGCATTCCAGCCCAGGAGGCTTAGCATAGGGTCATGCACTGTACTTGATTACTATACTTAATAGTTCAAGGACACTTCTCTGTGATTTCATTTTGACTGTGTCCTGGCTCAGCAGTTTCTTGGGCCAATATTCCTTGACAGAAGATTTAATAGTGAGGTCTCTCACCTTCTGTATTCTGTGGGTAAGATATTAAAAGTGGCCATAAGCTGGAAAAAATACATCCCAAATGCTGCCCTTCCCAGTAGGGCCTAGCCTGGCAAGACTTCAGTAACAGAAAACAGAACAGCACAGGGCAGACCTGGAGGCAAGAGGCTGTGTTCCCATCTGAGGCCACCCCACTGAATGCCAGGCTGAGGTCAAGAAAGCCAAGTACTCCAGAGAGTGATCAAGGTTGTATTTTACACCTGGAAGGGCATGTGGTCATTAGCAATATGGACTATCTATGAGGATTAAAAATAGAAAATAGGATTGTTCAAAGGAGACCATTTGCTGCAGAATCATCCATATCATCTTGAATATTTTAGGCTTTTGATGGGGCAAATCTGGAGATAGTAGAGGGCCTTGAGCATAGTGGGCAGATGCTCTGCTCCTGAGTTACACTCTAGCTCCTCATTCTGAGTCCCTAGCTGCAGAGTGCAGCAACATAAAATATTGAGCTGAAAAATGAAAATAAAGCAGTAAAAATATATTTGTCATGTTTCAAATAAACACGTGATACACAAAACTTAAAAGGAAAACCTTAAGGGGACAGTGCCCTTAAGGGGTCCCTGTCTCCTGCTGCCCAGGAGGTAGCTCCTCCATTTAGACATGCCCGCAGCTCTGCGATGTACAGATTTGAGTTCTATGAGCTTCAAGAAGTAACTAAAATTTGAGACTAGGGTAAAGTGTAAGCTAGCTGGCTGCAATGTGGATTACACTCGCACTTGGAAATAGTACGGATGACCAAGCACAACCACCAAGGGAGGGTTTGGTGAGTAAGCTACCACTTATGTATGAGATGAAGTATTATGAAGTCACTAAGCATTTTTTTACCAATGGGATCATGATGTGAAAAAGATGCTGGCGTTTGATACTAGATAGCAAAAGGGAGAAATAAAACAAGACAGGAATGAGCTGGAAACAAGAGGTCCTGGAAAAGCTGGTAAGAGAGACTGAAATAGGGACAAATGGGAACACTGACTTTGATGTCTTCTTTGCACTCCTGAAGAGTTTCCACATTTTTTCTGCATCATTTACATATCTTTTAGAGATTGCTGTGTAGGGTCTGTGGTGCACATCTTTAATCCTAGCACTTAGGAGGCAGAGACAAATGGAACTCTATGGGTTCCAGGCAAGCCAGAGAGAGCTACTTACTAAGATAGTCCCCAAACAAAACAACAAGATTGGGGGGGGGGTGTTTCTATTTTATTTTGGATCTAACTTGACCCCGAGTGCAGATTAAAACCTGTACAAGGGAAATCCCAGCAGTCCCAGTTCTCTCTAGGGTGGAATAGATATCAAGATTCAGCTAATGCACTGGGAAACAAATGGCCGTCTTCCTTTACTTCCTCTACTTGCTCCCAGCCTCAGGCTGGGAAGTGGGTGCTAGGGATGCCGTCTCAGGCTCAGGGACACACAGAAACCTGTTGTCTCAGGCATGGAGGCATCCCAGCTTCAGTCACCTGAGTCAGCTTCTGCTAGTTAGAAAGTTATGTGGTCATAGTTACCAGTTAGTCATCCAAGGTTTAAAAAGAACCCCATTAACTCTTAGAAACCCCTGTTCCCTAAAATGCAGAAGAAAAGAAGTAATTCAGCTCCAGAATCAAACAGAACGTCTTGCTCTCCTCACTTTCACAAAGCTACAGCGTTACTGTTTCAGGATCATGATTCCCCATATTGGATCCTACAAACCTGAGCACATCACCACAGGGTCACAGAAAGGAGCAGCTGATGCTCTGGAAGCACACAGATCAGCTTTACAAGCCATCTCTGAGGTGAGAACAACAGGCCAGAGCAGCAGGGCCAGGATAGGTGGCATCACTGTGCAAAGGCCGCACAGGCATGGGCAAGCATGGTAATAAGGGATGAGATGGGAATTCCATGCCTAACTCACAAGAGGGTGAGAATGGCCTACATCCTTTAGACCCAGCCTAGCTACTGACTGTCCCACTGTGGTAGTGTCCTAGACTGGCCACCTTGTCAAAGAATAAGAGTATAAAGACGTAACTAAGGTCAGTTCTTCCTTATGTACTCTAAGAGCTTGTGTCAATGTGTAGCCAGAGGCTGGAACAGAGGGAACAAATGGAAAAAGAGTCAACTGGAGGGCAGGCGAGAACCATGACTAGGTGTTTACCCTTTCTCAAGGCTGAGGGGCTGTCCAGGAGCTCCCAGCGGCACCTTGCTGCTTACCTGCTCCACTGTGCATTCTCTAAGCTCGTGGCAGCGCTCTTCTCCTCGTCTGTGGTGTTCTGCTCCTGCACCGAGGCCCCGGCAGCACCCACCTCCGAGAGCTTGCCGAGCTTCATGATCACCATCTCAATTTCTGGAAGCAAACATGGAGACAGGTGAGCCCAGCTGGCCATCAGTAACAGAGACTCAAAGTGTAGGCCAAGCATGTGTAGAGCACCCAGACATGCCAAGCAAGCCTCAACAGTGGGGGTGGACACCAGCAAAATGTGGGAAAAAAAACCATCCAGGCCAGGCCTCTATTAATCCATCTGAGCAACACCAAGGCATGAGCCCTGACTTAGACAAACACACAAGGAAGTTACCTGTTTTATTTCTTGACTTAAGACACTTAATTGAGTCATTACCATATTTCCTTTCCAAGGGGTTGGAGGCAACTGAGGAGATGGAACATGAGGCTAGTGTGTCCTTACCTAATTCACTGGACTGCTCTGAAGCTTTCTACACTTTAAAAATATCTCTGGCAGGACAGAGGCCATGTTTCCACCTTTCTATTTACAACCTCTGGAAGGTAAACAAGTTAGGAACCTCATTTTGTTTTTCCCAATTCTGGAAGAGCAACTTACAGCAACTGACTGAAAGTGCAGTATATATTTTATTTCCACAAACATTAAGGGCCATTGAGGAGAAACATCTGGACGTCAAGAATGATCCTGTGCTTCCTGATGTCCCCATCCAGAGCCCTTGTCATGCACTGAGGCCATTCTCAGGCAGCTGCCCTTCTCCTGAGGTCTTCACTGATGTATACTGGTTCCTTAACTGGCTCCATGTCCTTTTCCCTCATCTGTTCTCCACACAAACTGGAGAACTATCCCAAGTGATAGGAAGTGCAAACAAGCTCCCCACACCTTCTCCTCAAACTCAGGGTAAAATCCAAAGGGCACAGACCATAGCCTCACTCCTCCTATGCCTGGCTGTCTGCCTCTAATATCACACCCTGGTCTTCTCTGCCTTGCTGGCTCCCCATTCTGGCCATGTTAGGCATATTGTTTGCTGGCTGTCAAATGATCCAATTTCTCAGACATGGGCGTTACTCGGTCACATTCCAATGCTCAGTTAAATGTCACCATCTTGGAGATGCCTTGGTCACTGTCCTCACCTGTCTTTCCCTTAGCTCTTTTTATATGAGAACCACTAGACTGTACACTGTGTCCCAGTCTCACTCCTTTCCCCTTTCTCTCATGTCCTTTCTGCTTCTAGGGTCCATGAGATCAAGCCACTATGCGGAGGCTCTTCTGGACCCTGAGAAGTTTTCAGGATTTTCCTGAATTTGGAGGAACTTGGCAGTGTATGGGGTCTTGGCCAAAAATTTTGAGAAATCCCTGGATTGGAGTTTGTCTGATTTTTTCCCCCCAGTCATTAGGCTGGGGCTGATTTGAAGAGGAAGACCAGAGATGGGAAATATTCTTCTTGTGACATCATAGCCAGCACACACACTGGCAACATGACCTTAAGACTGAGTGTCAATTCTCTACTGGCCACGCTACTATCAAGTGTTCCCACGGCCAAGCTACTCCCCTTGTCCTTCTATGCCACGTTCTGTGGAACCAAGTCCTCACAGAAAGTGTTGCTGCTGCTATCAGTTTGCAGTGCAAGGGCTCATATCTGGGGCCTCAGGCATGGTAGTTGCAAAACCCTTTGTGCTACACCTCCCAACACTATTGGTACAAATTACTGGGAATTCTTCAGAGCTCCTCCCTGCCCTCTGCCCATCACCTTGTTTCTGTTTCACTCTATAGCACCTCTGACCACCAGCATTGGCATTCTACTGTTTACTTACTCTTGGTTATCCTCTACTGGTATGGCCTTGATAAGCATAGCTGCCTCCACAGCACACAGTGTACCTCTTGAGTATGTGAATAGGTCACTCCCTGGGTGCAGTACAATACGGGAAGACAGGACCAGCAATGGGTTGTAGGAACTGTGGAATGGGCTGGGGTGTTCAAGAGCCTGATATGTTCACAAAGTTCTTTCATGGGAGATGTCTGACTGCCCCTGCACCACACCCCCCACCCCCACCCTACATACACACACACACACTCTTTCTGGGCTCTCTTTAGAGTGATATACTTGTAGCCAGCCACTGGTATGGAGGCAATCTCATACATGTTCCCTTGGTACCAAGACCCTGGAGGCTTACTCTGGGTCCCCTGCCCTCCACACTTAATCTGAAGCCAGATGCTAACTAAAAGTCTCCCACAGGGAGGTCACCATCACCAAAAGGAATCTTCAAGGGGTATGTGGACAAGTGTTCTCTCTGGATTGTTTTATATGTATCTTAAAGACACTGGCAGACAATTCTAGGTGCATAAAGAACCAATTCTTTTGTGCAATGAGGCTAAATTTACAAAGAAAACAAGTGCATCAGTTCCTACTGAGTGGACAACAGAACAGACAGTCTTCAGTCATGGCTGTACAGGAGACAGCATCAACAACAGAACAGACAGTCTTCATTCAGTCATGGCTGCACAGGAGATGGCACCAACCCTGTATTAGGCACCATGTTTACTTTCCTTGTAGTTCTACATTTTTCTTCAACATCTAACTCCTTCCTCACATCTCAGGTTTCCCCAGAGTGTCGTATAAGACCATTTGCTAGATATGTCTTTTTCTTATCCTTAAAGTATTTATTCTGTTTGCTTTATACTGTATATGACTTAACATGGTGACAAGAATATGTATAATTTACAATAAATGTGCTTGGCTGACATGGTGGGAACACTGTTTCCTAGGACTCCTTAGAGTCACAGAGCCAAGTTCCAGTGCCGAGTGTGATGGACAGCCAGAATGTCACAGTAGTCCCTTTTTCAGCCTTTTCCTGTTCCTGGATACCACTAGGATTCTGGAGCAAGAGGAGAGTTCAAGACAATCCAGTTCACTGCCAGTTAGGCAACTTTCAAGTGACTTAATAACTTTTGCTTTTTGCAATACTGGAGATAGATTTCAGGACCTTATGCATATTGGCAAGTACTCTGCCACTGAGCCACACCCTTAGCCATCAAAGGGAATTTCCAAGGCATGACAACATGGTGGACAGTTGACCACAGGGTTGCTTCAGGTCAAACTGGACAAACACCAACTGTCTGCCCACATGGTCACTTGGGTACTACAGAGCCCCTTCCTAGAATTCTAGGACCTTAAAAAAGAAGACAACAACAAAATACCTGAAATCTGCTTGTTTGTTCCAAATTTGGCAACCAACTCTGAGAAAGCCACCCAGAAGTGCAATAGTTCTCTGTGCAGCTAGAACATGCAGCAGAAGCTAAGCCAGCTCTCACTGTGGCACAGAAGCCAGCAGTAGCTGATCCTAGCACCTTAAGTCCTGGCTGTGTCACCCTGTGCTCCCAGCTGCTCAGCCAATCCTACTGAGTTTCCCAGATTCAGCTGATTTCCTAGGTGAGTGTAGACCAGTTCTTTCAAAGTCAGGATAGGTCTTCATCTTCTTGTAAACAATTTTATCCAGCTAAGTTTTACAGTGAAAGTTCTTACCTGGCCTTTTGAAATGGAGAAGAGTGGCATGGGGAGAGGGTCTCCCTAGTCTGTCACAGCTCTTTAAGAGCCTATGACCTTTTCTGTGAACCCCTCTTTCTGCCATACCAGAGCATCTATGGTGGTCTTGTGCTGCTTTCCAGTCCTTGTTGATGCAGTACTCACGGCAGGGCAGCCAGCTTCCACCAACAGGCCAAGCAAGATGCTCCAGTGACTCAGGGGCTACCAAATGGCCAGAGATTCTGCTAATGGCAAGCTCCATCTGAACCTCAATTATACTTTGAGTCATCCCCAGTCCCACCAGCCAGGCTTCTGTTTCAATGAGAATGGCATGTTTTTTTTTTAAAAAAAAATGTAGATTGTGTGTAATAGAGAAGGGCCTGTGTGCCTGTGAGTGGGTGCAGAGCCAAGGAGAGGATACTGGGTGTCATGCTTTATCGCTTTCCACCTTAATTATCTGAGGCACAGTCTCTTACTGAACCTAGAGTTAGGCCAGCAACCAGAGAGCCCTATTGATCCTCCTGTCTGTCCCCCCACAGCAGTGGAATTACAGGCATTGGCAAAAGCACATCTGGCTTTTTGCTTGACTATTGGGCATTTGAACTCATGTCCTCAGACTTATGCAACTGTACCTTTACCTGTTGAACTAGCTTCCCAGCCCTAATGGGCTCATTTTAAAACTGTTGTGCCTTCATTTAACCTGATACAGTCTTTGGAGGCCAGAAGCTTTTACTAGGTACTGAGGCTGTACAGGACTTGTGGGGGGCTGAAAGTGAACTGTCCCTCCCTGGTCTCAGGCATTTGAATCCTTAGTCCCCAGTTGGTGGGCTTGTTTGGGTGGGATTAGGCAGGATAGCCTTACTGGGGAAGTATGCTACTGGGGACCGGCTCTGAGGTTTAAAACGTCAGGCATCACTCCTAGTTCATGCTCTGCTTGCTGCTTGGGGTTCAAGATATGAACTCTCAGCTGTTCCTGCTGCCATGCCTGCGTGCTGGAACATGTCCCCACTGTGATGACAATAGATTTTTATCCTTCCGAAACCTCAACAACAGAGAAAAGTGTCAAGAGTGCATCTATCACATTGCCTTATGAGCAAAAAGAACAGGAAAATAAAACAAAAAAACAAAAAACAAATTTGGCTTTTTTTTTTTTTCCCAACGGAGTTTCACTATGTAGTCCAGACCTGCTGAGCTCATCCTGCTCCAGCCTCTCATGCTGGGGTTGCAGGTCTGCACCACCACCTGGTTAAATCTGCTTATTTTTACAACACACACGGAGGGGAGAAGGGAGAGAAAATAGTTCAGCAAAAAGGTCGAGGGATAAGGAGGGAGAGAAGGCATGTGGAAGCAAAGGACACTTTTTTTCTGTGTAGTTTACAGTGTTAAAACATTATGTATTAAAAAAGGAAGTTCTGTGGTTGGATATGATCAGGATACATTGTACGCATGTATTAAATTGTAAAACATATATATGAAATTGTATCAACTAAACTGAACAAAAAGGGAGATGTCAAAATGTATTTAAAGTGAATGTCACACCTACCCTGAAGGTGGAGCTGGGAGTGGGCCAATCCAAGAAGCACAAGG